CATGTTGAAGGTCCAGAAACATCTAGGACCGCTGTTTGGGAGCTGTTGAATCAACCCCGTTCATGCAGTTCTACAGTGAACGAGATGAGGTGCAAACAACACTGTCGTGAGACGAGATGAGAAGAACGCAAATGACAGCATGGTCTATCCAGTGTAATTTCAATTTATGCTCTTAAAAAGCTAACAACACATTTGATTCCAGGTTTAGGTCTATGAAAGCATAATACGTCCATAGGAAGTGGTCTGGGAAGTATGACAGGATCCTTTCCTCTGGGATTGCGGATCAAGAGTGACTTTCTCTGGGCACTTGGGTAGCTCCAACTCTTGGTTTCCGCTCAGGTCATGATCTCAAGGTTTGTGATTTCGGTCCCGCGATGGGCTCTGTCCTGATGGTGCGGAGCCTCCTGGGGACTCCCATCTCCCTTTCCGCCCTGCACGTGCTTGCTCTCACTCTCTCTCTCTCTCTGAAAATAAATAAACTTTAAAAAAAAGTGTCTTTCTCTTCATTGATAACATTTTTATGAGAACATTATTTACACATGATGCTTAATAATGAGTAGCCCTGGGGCACCTGGGTGGCTCAGTCTGTTAAGCCTCCCACTTTGGCTCAGGTCATGATCTCACAGTTGGTGAGTACGAGCCCCTCGTCAGGCTCCCGGCTGACAGCGCAAAGCCTGGAGCCTGCTTCGGATGCTGTGCCTCCCTCTCTCTCTCTCTGCCCCTCCCCCGCTCGTTCTGTTTCTCTCAAAAATAAATAAGCATTTAAAAATTTAATGATAAAAGCACTTTTTTCACCTTGAATAAAAATCATTGAATTGTGCTCACCGAAGGGGTGAATTGTAGAATATGTAAAATATGCCTCAGTAAAACTGTTAATAATAATAAAAGAATTAGTTGCCAAAGCTGAGCCAAGCACAGCCCTTACCAGAGCAGGCACTGAGTGCTACGTGCAGCGGAGAGGCCACAGAGAGGTAGGGCTCCCTGGAAAGCACATCTGTGCAGAGGGAACAGGCATGTCCCCACAAGGGCCATCCCCCGGTGTGCTGCGCCGAGGACAGCCCAGCTGGCATGTCCACCCAGGAAGTAAGGAGCTGGTTGCAAGAACTTTCTTCCCATGAGGTCACCGAACCTAGGCCATCCCTCCAGTAGCAGGTGGTTGTCAGGCAGCCGACCCCAGCATGAATGGCACCACACCAGTGACCCTGTCCCCAAGCTGCAGCAGCCTTTCCCGGGAAGTGTGCCACGGGCAGGCCTCTGAGCATTTTGGTGTGGTGCCTGGGGGGCTTCCTGAGGAGCTGGTTCCTCTGCTGGATGAGTAGCACCTGGGCCTTCCTCACCTGCCTTCAGAGACTCTCCTCTGGTGCTCCTGGTCCTCTGGGGACGCACAGAGCCGGGACACTTGAGGGCAGAGACTGACTAGGGATGGGCAGGGCCACCTGGCTCGTTTGTAACCTGCAAAGGAGCCCTGACGATCCTGCTCGTGCACTTGCTCAGGCCACGCCCTCCTCCTGCGGAATGGCCCTTCCCTGGATGCTGGGTGGCAGCAGATACAGCCTCCACATTTACAGGAAGGGCACAGCCACCGGCGGCATCACACAATGCTACAGAAACAGCCAGGGGCAGGGTCTTGTTGGGAGGTAGGGGACCGAGTCCCCAGAGGGGCCAGGGACTGAGTGTTGGCTGGCGCAGCACAAGGGAGCTGGCAGGTGTCTGCCCACCCCTGAACCTCGAGCTGGCAGGGCGGGGAGGGTGCTTGGGGGTGACGGGACCGGCCTCTCCCGCAGCAGTCAGTGGCGGCTCTGCCCTGGCGCCGCCTGCTCCCTGCTCGGAAGTACCAAGACCCTCGTTCCGGGACTAGAAGCACTGTGGGGTTGCCACTTTCCTTCTTGGTTTCTGAGGCTGCCTGAAAGGGGCAGTGGGTGACCACCCACTATCATCCCCTCCCCAGAGATTCTATTTGTTTATTTATTTTTAAAATTTTTTCAGAGATTTTAAATCAGAAGCATCCTTCATCCCTCTAGGACTTCCCCCGAAGAGGCTCCGGTGGCTTTAGCTCCACCGCCTGCTCCCCATCACCCAGGACAAACCGAGGAATCGGGCTCCGTATGCAGGCTTTTCAACCGGGCCTCTCCCAGCACAGCCTGTGGAGCAGGTGCAAGCGTCCCTGCTTTGTAGGTTGGAGGCCCGTCCGGGGGTGTGATCCTTGGGGGCAGGCTTGGGCGAACTCTCCTCAGGGGCTTCGGGCCCTCCGCTGGGTTCCTGCACTGCTCCCAGCCCCTCTGAACTCTTACCTCCCTGCCTCAGACCAAAAAGGCACCATAGGAACCCCCAGGGTCTGGGGCAGTAGGGCCCAGACAAGGGCGGGATGGGGGGACGGGGTGGCGGGCGAACTCCCTGGTGTCCGGGAGGCCTTGTGGACAGAGGCGCTGTCTCCCACGCAGATGTGTGCCCTTCTGCAAAGACGTCCTGGGGCTAAGTGCCAGCTCTCCAGACTGAGGAGGGGACAGGAAGGCATCCCTGCTGCCGAGCAGGGCCTCAGGCCAACGAAGCAGTGCAGAGCAGTCCTCTGCTTCCAAGTCCTGGCTCAGCCTTGCTGAGGTACCACGCGTTAGGTGGTTAAGGGTGATTCCCGGCACCCCCCTCTCTCGGGAGACTCAGGAAGTATCTAGTGAAGAAACCCCCCAGGCCCCCCCGCAGGCCTCCACACACGGCTCCTGTCCAGGTGGGGAGTGGTCTGGGCTGTCTTTGTCTTCCCCTCCAGGATTCCCACTGCTCTCTATGCTGAACCCGAAGCTCTGCTCTCCAAGAATGGTCTGGGGTTTCCCCCTCGGGCAAACAGATCTTGGCTCCAAAGTCCTGTGCCCAGGCTCTCTGGGGGCACCCACAAAAGTTCAATTACTCTGGAACTCCCCCCAGCCCAAGGCTGGAGCCAAGGAGAGGCCCCACGAAACCCCACAGCAGGAGGAAGCCGGAAAGTCCCCGTGTGCGTCCAGCAACGACCAATGGCGCAGCCGGCGAGCCGGAGGGTGAGGAGGGTGGACACTCAACGTGGTCGCAAACATCTCGGCACAAATTACTTATTAAAGAGTAAGTGGCTTTGCGGAGGAGAACCCCTGGAGACCAAGTAGACGTCACCAGGATGGACGGACGCCACATGCCTCCCAAGGTGACACCCTGGGAAGGACACAGTCGCGTGTCCAGGGTCTTCCTGCCAAGAGCACAGGGGCTGAATCTTCTGGTCAGAATCAGATGAGCCCCACAGAAGGACATCCTACGGAATAACTGTGGTGAAAGGCAGGCAGGCTGGGGGCACCAGAGGCTACAGGGCCCCGGGGAGCGGCACAGCGAGTGTGTGGCAGGGACGGTGGGGGGGGGGGGGGGCGGGGGGGGGGGGGGGGGGGACAGGCTACTGCAGAGGTCAACTGGGGGCGCCCAGCAAGGGGCCCGCCCATGCTAATCGACTCCCCTCGCTGTGCTGTGGCCGCAAGGTACACACTGGACGTTTTAGGGGCAAAATTAAGGGCAAGTGACAATCAAATTGTTTGGAAAAGAATACGGCACAAATCCAAAACCCGAAGTGGCACAGTGTGAACGATGGGGAGTGTGGCTCGGGGTGCCAGACAGCACTGTGCACTGTGTTTCTGTAAGTTTGAAATACGTCAACACAGGGAGCTTCCAAACACAGGCGGGGCCGGTGCGCAGACACTGTGGGGCTCAGACCTGCCCGCTGTGTGGCCTTCAACTAGTCACCCTCCCTCTCTGAGCTCATCTCCTGACTGATGTGCGTGAGGCCGCTGTCTCCCAGCCGTGAGAACCGGAGCGGGAAGCGGTGGCCCTGCATGGAAGGCAAATGTCCACTTCTCGGGGCGACCTGCGATCCAGCCTCAGGGAGGCCGGAGGACAGGGCTCTGCCCCGGTCAGCGTGGCACGGGCGGTAAGAGACCTGGGGTGAGGACAAGGCCGTCCACAGAAGAAGGCTGTTCTTGGGAGGATGGGAGCCGCCTGGGAGGTGCAGGGAGCATCTCCTGGTGGCTGCAGCGGCTGGAGCGACCGGTGCTGCCCTCAGGAGGTGGGGAGGCAGCCGGGCAGAGGCGGACAGCTGCCAGGCATGGCCCGTCAAGTGGCCACCACCGTCCCATGGGCTGGGCAGAGCCCTGAGAGGAGAGGCGGTGGGCCCCACGTGATCTCGAGTTTTGGCATCTGCCGGCAGGAAAGACGGGTGGTGGAGGCTTTTCTCAGCAGGCTCTGGGGGCCTGGGGACAGACCTGAGCAAACTCCTCGGAGGCTCTGGGCCCTCCGCTGGGTTCCCGCACCACTCCCCACCCCTGACCTCTCACCGACCTGCCTCAGACCAGAAAGCACCCACCACAAGAACCCACAGGGGCCTCGTAGGGCTCCCCATCCAGCCTCTGCTGACCCGTCAGTGGAGGCACAGCACCGGGAGGTGCTGACGGCCCTCTCCGGACTTTAGCCCTTCCCTGCAAAGCCAGGACGGCAGGTGCACAGGCGGCCAGCCAAGGGTCCCTCAAGGCTGCAGGATGAGTAGAGTGAGGCACGCGGGATCCCTGCCCTGCGAGGAGTCCACAGGTTTGAGGTGATGTATTCATCAGAGCCAGGGCGGCTCACCCCTGCCCCAGGGAGGCCTGCACCCCTACCCTCAGCCCTCTCATTCATACCAGGGCAAGGCCAAAACCAGAGAGTGAGCGACCCTGGGTCCGCCCATCCATGCCAGGACACCTTCAAGGGGCCGGAACTTCCGTACCCGCCCGCCAGCCCCGCAGGCAGGCCTGCTTCAGGGGACGGTGTGCCCACCGCTCCCCAGGCTGGCATCGGACGAGAAACGGGTGTCACAGACACCGTAGGAAAAGCAATGGGGGCCAGCTGTCCTACCGCCCCAGGAGAAGGGAACCTCACCTCAGCCCCACCACCGTCACGATGGAGGCGGGGGGCCTCCTCAGACCCACTGCCCGTGTGGCGATGGGAAGGTAGAGGGCACGCTCCAAACGGGTGGGAAGTTTTATTGTCTCAGCAGAAACAGGCGGAGCCAGGACGTGTCCCGTCACATGCGGCGCTGCTGGGAACTCCCCCAGGGGCTCCCCGCCGCGGCCCGCGGCCAAGGGGTGCAGGCGGCAGAGGTGGACAGGCCCGAGTGCCCGCAACGAACAGAGGCCGCTGCCCCTTCTCCTGCTCGGGCTACGGCACGAGCACAAACAACTCCAGGAGGACAAAACACAGACGATGCCATCCGCACGTACAGTCTTCCTCCCCCTGGGGATTGTGGGGCTCGCGCCCATAGTCAGATGCCACGCCAGCCGGCAGGCAGACGCGGCCTGAACGCTGCCCCCCACCCCCCTGCCACACACACACTGGAGACCACAAACGTGGTCTCTCTAGGAGCTACCTGCTTCTGTGCGACGTCAGTGAGGGAGATGGTATTTGGCCAAGGGGCCCGTTCCCGCAGGGGTGTGGGGCAGGGACAGGGCGGCAGGGTGAACGGCTGTCTGGTCTCTGGCAAGGCGGCTCCAGGCTCCCACGTGGCCCGGCTTCACACAGGGAGACCCGAAGGCCCACGGCAGCTCCCCCTGCGGGACAACCTCTCCGGGTGGCTTCAAGCAAACCCTTGTGTGGTCCAGGCTCCAAGGGCAGTGCTGCCGGCTTCCCAGAGGGCTCGGGGCCACCGGGGCTGCTGGTTCTGGGGACCCTGGAGCAACCCCCAAGGACGGGATGCTGGGGGTCCGCCTCAAGGACCGTTGAGCGCATCCCGGTGGAGCTGTCCCTCTACCTCCCGACAGGGAGAGCTGCCAGCTTGCCCCGTTGGCAGTGGCCGTGGTGGTCAGGGGCAGAGGCCTACAAACCCCTCCCGGAGTCTGGGTGTGATGGGAGGGGCAGAGCAGGGCTCCTGGGCAGGCCCCCGGGGGCTGGGGGGCACCGGGTTGCCGATGCCATCCCAGCAGGTCAGGAGGCGGGTCCTGAGGCAAACACTGCTAGTGATGAAGCACGGGCCTGCTGGCCCGGCTGGCTGCCCCTGCGACCTCCTGCTCAGCACCCCGCAGCCTCGGAGCCAGGGGCAGATGTAGAGGCCTCAGACAACCGGGGGCACAGAAGGCAAACGGCACGGACGCGTGCCGTCCTGACGGTCAGCGTCCCCGGCAGCATGGAGGGCTGACTGTGGCCGTGTGGCGGTGCCGGGCGGGCCGGTGGCCAGGGTCCGTCAGTCCCGCTTGTCCCCTTTCTGCCTCCAGGGGTAGATGAGCTCCCCGAAGAAAAGCTTGCGGCACAGGGAGCCCCAGGAGTGGGTGGGGTGGCAGCCACAGCTGGGGAGGCGGTAGGTGCGTATCACGTGACTGAAGGGCAGGGGGTTTATCTGAAAGCACAAGGGCCGTGGTCAGCCAGCACACAGCCCCCAGCGCACCGGGCTGTCAATCGTGCCCGTGTCGGAGCCGGCGCTGCCCAGTCGTGCCCTCTCTGCAGCACCCAGGGGTAGCGTGAGCGGCTCAAAAGGGAACACTCCGGCCGCGACGGGCATGCCCTCCTCGAGATAGGCTTCGGGGAGGGGAGGTGGGCCAGACTGGAGGGGTACAGACCCCTCTACTGCAGGACTTAACCTTGCAGGAGCCTCGCAAGTGGTCTGGGAACACACCCCCCACTCCGAGAACACCACACAGGCTGGCTGCCTCAGTATCTGACTGTCCCTGAGATGTGGCCCTCAGGGCAACCACCCCGCCCCCCAGCAGCCAATAGCCACCCTCCTCCTCCCTCCCACAGGCCAAAGGGGCTGTTTCCGAGAAAAGAGCCCAAGAGAAAAGGCCTGTGTGTCCTGGGGCCTTCACCAAGTCTGTCCTTGTCCACCTGGAATGAGAGCCCGTGGGACCCAGGGCAGGAAACAAGGGTGCAAGGCCCAGCAGGCAGGAGCCCTGCGTGGCTGAAAGCATCTGACACAGCACAAGGGATCCCATCCAGGGTCCTGCCGAAGGAGGTTCCAGGCAGAGGGGGGTCACAGTGCCCAGATGTCTCGGAGGTGAGGGAGCCTCCCCTTGGGCCCCACCCATCAGCTCTGCTGCACCCTGCAGCCCTACGCCCAGGGAAGCACAGAGGGATGAGATCCCAGCTGCCCCCCAATCTGGGCAACACCACGGCAGGTGGGTGCCGGGTCAGTCCACTGGCAGCGGCATGAGGGGTGCGCAGAGGCCTCACCTGCATCAAGAGGCGGAGGGGCCTATCAGCTTCATGCTCCAGGACTCGGAACTTCACGCCGGCTGCAGGAAGGGCAAGGTGGCTGTGAGGGAGGGCGGAGCCCCCCAGCCCCACCCAAGGCCCACGGCCTGCAGACAGCCTCCCAGGCCTCCCTCTCCTCATGTCAGCACAGGCGGGTGGGTGCGGGCAGAGGGCCCTGCACCTCCGGTGGCACTCAGAAGGCCGAGGACGGCCCCGGTGGCGCCACAGGCTCACCCGCCCCCAGCCCGGCCCCAACCTTCCCGTCTGTCTCTGGGCTGGCTGCCTGGCCGGAATCAAAGCCTCCACAGAACTTCACCGAAAGGCAGAAGCTGCGTGTCTGGGAGCCAGGGAAGAGTCAGCTGGGCATCGGGGGCACAGGCTGTGCTGCTTTCCAAACGGGATGCGGGCTGGGCTGGGCTGTCCCACAGGATGGACAGGGTGCTTGCTGGGTTGTGGCCACCCTCCCGGCACCTAAAGGTCTTCTAAATTCTGTGTGCGTGGCCGACTTGGGAACCCACCATGCCCCTGGCCTACAGTGTGGGCTCCCAAGCCTGGGAATTCCCAAGGCAGAAAGTTCTTAAAAAGAGAAGCAGGAGCTAATTATCAATTGATGAAGAGGCCCCAAGGCAAACTCAGTGAAAAGGAGAGAAAGCAGCAGCATCTGTGGGTTTTTATGTGAAGTTAAAACAACTCAGCTCTGGCCACGAGCTGTGGGCCGGGGGAGGGAGACCCTGGGTCTCAGGCTCTTCACCAGCCTGGTCCTGGCAAGAAAGTATGGGCAGAGGCGGGAGCCCCTGGCATGGGCCACCTGGGGGCCTGCAGGGGAAGCGGTCTGGAAAGGGAACTCAAGGGTACCCAGTAGGCCGATGTTAGGCCCAAAGCCCACGGAACATGCAGGTTCAAGTCCTTGGCCCTCAACGGGCTGGAAGAGGCTGCTTGAGCTTGGTGTGGGGGCTGAGCTGCAAACCGGACACAGGGCCAGGTTTGCTCTCCCCGTGTTCCCTGACGTGCGCAAAGCCCCTGAACGGGACTGGCCAACTCACGATGCTGTGACCGGTTTGGTCTGCCTCCCTGGGCCTGCCACGGGGATAGCCTCCCCTCAGGGGCATCTGGCCAACCTAGTGGTTGGTGTCATCATGAAAACAGGGGCAGCCAGCTGCAGGGGGCACAGCCAGGAGCAGCTGGGACGGTGGGTACTGTCCCGGTGGGCAGTGGTCTGTGGGGTGGGGCGAGGCTCCTATCTCACAGATCTGGCCAGCCCAGCGGTCTCCGCCCTGGCCTGTCCTCTCCGAGGCTGAAGGGCATGAGCAGGCACACACGGTCACACACAAGCACACGGGGACACTTTTCTGAGCCACGTTCAGGTGCCACCTACGCTACTACACACAGACCTCAGGGCAAATCTCACGCCCGTCGCAGGAAAGGGTGAGCAAGAGGAAAGGTCGCCTCTGCAGCCTCTAAACCCGAGGGCGAGGTGGGTCTCCCTCCAGCTCACTGCAGGCAGCCGGCCTGGTGGACACCAGGGGTCTCTGCCCTCCCCCACCAGCCGCCCCCATGCCCCACACTACTGCTTCCGGCAGCACACGGACCCACCTGCAAGCCTGTAAGGCCGGCAGAGCCGGAGGCCGAGGGAGTACAGCGGCAGGGAGTTGATGAGGTCCACGAGCACATGGATCAGGCCCTGCACGGCCACCACCAGGAGCCGGAGCTACAGCACAGACAGCGCTCAGAGCCACGCCGCACGCCCAGGAGCAGAGCAGCCGGGAGGGTCCCGGGCCACGACCAAGGGCGACCAGGAGCTCGGAACCCCCCGGGGAGGGCGCGGTTCCCACCCAGATCCTAAGGCCCAGGTAGGAGGAGGCAGGGGGCCGCGAGCGGGAGTGGCTGAGCCCAGGGAAACACGCCACCAGCCCCTCCCCTCGGCGTGGGCCACCTGGGTGCCACGCCCCTGAGTCCTGCGCCCCGCCGCTTGTCCCCCGAGGGTAGGGCCCAGCACACAGTGTCTGGAGAGCATAGGAGAGCCACACCCTCCACGGACTGCGGGGACAGACAGCAGGCAGAGCACACACTCATCACCCCCAAGCACTGTGGGCGAGGCCCATCGGCCGGCTTGGCCAGGTGCCGTGGCCAAGGCCCTCCCAGGCCGCGAGCCCCTCGGCTCACCAGGGTGAACACCAGGTAGTACAGGGCTGTGGTGGGCAGGAGGAAGAGCAGGATGGTGAAGAGCAAGGTCCCGATGAACAGCTGCAGGGAGAAAGGACACCACCGTCAGCATCAGCAAGAGCCCCATGCCGGGAACAGCCCCGTCCCCACCAGACCCATCCGGTAACCGAGCGGAAAAGGGACGCCTGCCGCCGGGACACTCTGGCTTCCTGAGACAAGTCAAGAAAAGCTGCTCAGGACAGCTTTCTCCAGTACTGGGAGGGACGTGTCCGCGTGCCCTCCAGACTCGGGCGGACAGAACCAGCCAGCAGGACATGAGCACACACACCAGAAGCGGGCGGGTGGTGAATTTGGGGCGGCAAAAGTAGGCCTTGGAGGGCAGCACGCAGGGTCCATGTGCCAGGTCTAAGCTATGGGAAAAGCCAGAGGCAGGCCCTGAGCCTAGGTCACCTCCATGCCCTGCCATCCAGCGGCTCCCGGGGGTCCGGCACCCTCCCCAGAGCAGCGTCCACCTGCCGCCTGGGGCAAGGTCCCGTGCTATCTGAGGCTCCGTATGCACCCTGCCCCTTGCAGGCTCCTCACGTTCCCCAGCGTCCGTGCCGACCCTTGGCAGGTGAGGTGAGCCACGGACAGGAGTGTGGTCACCCCATCAGGGTGCCAAGCGGCTACACTGGCCAAGCCGTTTAGAGGACCGGATGGACTGGAGCTCGGGGGGCAGTCGGCTGTGGGTCCCGCCGGCCCCCTGGAGGGGTGCCCCTCCCCTGCAGTCCTGCCCAGTACCTGGTCCAGGTCATAGGAGCAGGAGTCCACCCGCTGGCGCAGAACATTCCACTTCTTCCCCCGGAACAGACGCCAGAGCGAGGACAGGCCACAGATCTTCAGGCAGTACAGCCTGCGGGAGGGACACAGGCAGCATCAGGGCCAGGGCTCTGGGCCACCCCGGGAGCCCCCCCGAGGCCCGGCAAGCATCCAGGGTGCTCACGAGCAGGGAGCACACGCCCACCTGGCGCCGTAGACGTAGAAGCAGTAGATGTGGAAGGTGAGGAGAGCGATGATGTCTGACAGGATGGACAGGGCGACCGTCAGGCCCAGGCAGGCCGAGAGGCCCACGTGCCACAGGATGCGCTCGATGAAGGGGGACATGAGGTGGATGTAGCCTGGTGGGATGGGGGACGGTCAGCTATGGGTCCTGACCCCCCCAGTTCCTCACGGACAAGGCGCGCCTGAGGCTGCCAGACTGCTCTCCTTCCTGGCCGTCTCCTGGCCGAGCAGCCGGCCTGGTAGAGCAGGGCTACACACACACACACACACACACACACACACACACACACACACACACGGCACCAAGAGGGAGGAAAGCAGGGACCAAGGGGATGGGTGGGGCCCCACTCAGCCAGGGCTGTCACCTGGGTGCACAGGCTTCAGAAGCCGAGTTGGGGGGGGGGTCACTGGGGCCAGGGGGAGCTGCCACTCACTGATCCACAGATGCAGATGGTATAGGAAGAAGCGGCCGAGGACCTGGTCCAGCGCCCGGTTCATCTTCAGCCCAGCAGGTGCTCCCATCAGCCACTGCAGGAGATGCTGGAGCTCCTCGGCCACGTGCTGGAGGGATGCAGCAGGGGCACGCAGTCTGTCAGCTGCACCCCACCACGGCCAGCCCATCTGGGCAGGGACAAGGTAGTCTGGGTGCCTCCCTCCAGGTGTCTCCTAACATGAGGGGCACACAAGCTTTCCCATGCTCGTCTGGCCAGGGAACCCCTCTTCGCAGATGCTCTGGGACCTGCTGAGAGGCACAGCCTACAAGGCTGACAGTCTTCCCCTGGCCCTCTGGACATGGGGGCCCGAATGGCCATCACCCTTTCCCGCATTCCAACCCTCCCGCCACTGGGCCCACCGGAGCACTCGGCCCCACATGCCCAGATGAGGGACAGACCCCAGCTCACCGTGAACCTTGTAGGGGGAGCCCATGGGTCTACAGTGCCCCTCTGCTGAGGACCCCACCCCACCACCTGGTGCTGCAGAGGCCCAGGCCTGCCCTGGGCGGGTGCCCTCAGGTAATCCTGAAGGGTATCGAGCCCATCAGGGGACCAAGTGCCAGTGAGAAGGCCAGAGAGTTCCCGGGAGAAAAGGATGGATGAGACGTGAGTCATCGACTACAGTGAGCGAGGGCCAGAGACGGCACGGGGACTCTCACCGGCAAGCAGGGAAGCTGACCCGCATCCCGGTTGCCCGCGGAGGAAGCCAATGTCCAAGCGCTGTGCCCGTCCCAGAGCACAGGCCTAAGGACCCTCAGCCTTATCAGCAATGCTGAGTCCACAGCGGTGACTGCCCCACAGTCACCGACCCGTCGCCCCCCTCCTGCCCACTGTGCGGGCCTGTGAAAGCCTCAGCCATGTCAGGGGCGGTGAGGAAAGAAACAAAGCATTCTTTATAAATAGAGCTTATCTAATATTTAAAGGATAAGAGCTAGGCGGCAGGAAGGAGCTTTCATTTTTAAATTAAATATTTATATTTCTGCGCAATTCTGCAAAAGGGAGATCTAGGATGAAGCGGCCAAGAGGCAGAGCATGGACAAGCAAGGTGAAGCGACCAAGCCACCTTCCCAGCCGCCAGGCCCTCCTTGTTCTCTTCCTCTCGGACCAGGTCTCCCAGAGAAGCCATGGGGGCTCCCGGCCTGGGAGGGCTCTTGCCCACAGGCAGGCCCAGAGCACAGCTGCGACTGATGCCGATGGCAGTGGCAGGGGTGGCACGCACAGGGACCGCACCGGGGCCAGCAGGCCACTGGCAGAGGCGTGGGGGAGGCCCAAGGGGCCAGAGGGACTGCTCTAAGCAGGGAGACAAGCTCCCCGACAGGAGTGACAGGGCCTGTGGCTCTGAGGAGGGGAGGCAGAGAAGCCGAAGGCTCGGCGCCGGCATAGACGAGCAGCAGGGTAGAAGCTGAGAGGAGGGCCGCGGAAGGAGAGGAGGGAGCCCCACGGACAAGCTGGGCCCCCAGCACTCAGCATGGGAACTGCAGAATCAGCAGTGCGAGTGGCCTGACCGCCACAGGGTGTGAGGCCCGAGCCTGACCGCACACAGACAGCCCTGGACACACGCAAGGTTTCCGCGATGCTTTCTGTGCAGAGCGCCCAAGCCAGGAGCCAGGGATGGGACCCGTCTGGGGTCAAGGACAAGGGCTGCTTACGGGCCCCACAGAGGGAAAGGGCAATGGTGCTCTGGCCGGCGGATGGGCCTCTGCCGCCCCCAGGAAGGGCCCCACCTCCAACTCTGGGACACACTGGGCTCCCCCAACCAAGTCACCCCTGGGACACGCCAGGCTCCCCCGACCGACTCACATCAGCCACGGGGACGAGCGCCTCTGCCAGGTGGCCGATCCGGTCCTTCCCGTGAAGCCAAGATATAAGCGCAAGACCAAGGGCCACGTCAAGAAACACAGAGACAAGCACGTTGGCCTTTCTGGAAGGAGGAGCCCCACAGGGTGGGTGGTGAGGGGACCAGCCCGAAGGAGGAGCCCGACAGGAGGGAGTGAGTGGTGAGGGGGCCTTTCTGGAAGGAGGGGTCCGACGGGGCGGGCGGTGAGGGGGCCTTTCTGGAAGGAGGGGTCCGACGGGGCGGGCGGTGAGGGGGCCAGCCCCGAAAGGGTCACTGTGGATGGGCTGGGTGTAGGGAAGTGGGCGGGGGGGGCACGGGTTGGTGGCATGACCAGCAGCTGTGGTGGAGACCCAGCACCTCATCAGCTGGGTGGGGTTCTCGGCCTTCTGGGTGCTGAAGACAAACGTGAGCTGCTCCAGCCGGTGCCTGAGCTGCTCACATGTGGAGAGCTTGCTCCAGATAAAGGACAGGGGCCACAGCTGGAACACCCTATGAAGGAACCGAGAGGTGGATCTTCAGCTGGCGTTCCCTGTCGGCCAAGGGCCGAGGGCCCCCTTGGCTGGTGCCGTCACCAGGCTCGACGCAAGGCCCTGGAAGCCCCCGAACACCGATGGCCACACTCCCGAACTCGGCAGCACAGGCACATGGCGGGGGGCAGAGGCGGGCAGCCCGGCGAGGGTCATGACGCACTCACGGACGTTAACTGGGAACCTGACCTCGTCACAAAGCAGTGACCTGAGGCACACCCAAGGCCAAGCGCCAAGACCTTGCCCCAGGAGTGGAGAGGATGTGCTGTCCAGCCACCCAGCGCCTCGCCCTGCTGGACGGGTGACCCTCATCGAGGGTCTCCAGGCTGCCAGGGCTGCCCCACGAGACTGATTTCTCACAAGGCAAAGGAAGCACTGAGAGGCTTCTGCAGACAGTGGGACATGGAGGGGAGACGTTTGTGAGCTAAGTGCCCTGTCGGAACTCGGCTACACTCAAGAGTCTCCACTTGGAACCTGAGCCCCTGCTGCCGCCAGCAGGAGCCTGAAGGGCGCGGAGCCGCCAACGAGCCGGGTGCCGGGCCCTCAGGAGGAAGGAGGAGGTCTTCGAGCCACTCCGAGCCAACTCCAGGAGCCAGACGTGCTCAGCACACCCCTCCTGAACTCCAGTCAGCTGGAAGGCGGCCTCGCACTGTCTGCACAAGAGGCCCCCTCCTGCACAGCTGTTTCCCCGAGGCTCACACCAGCCGTGGGCGGCCAGGGCCCCGCCGGCACCCCTGGGGCTGCCCAAGGGGAAGAGGGGGCCGCCCTTCTGCACAGTAACAGCTCTGCCTCGCGTGACCGTCCCCGTGCTCTAACCCGATGGGCTAATCAGGATTCGGGGCACACGAGCCAGTGTTAACCTTTCTTGAGTCCTCTGAAAGCTGATAAAAGCCAAGGACCCTCTCCCCCCAAAACCGTACTTTGGCTGACACACACTTTCCTGTCATTCGTTCCAGGGAGTAGTGAAGATCCGAAACCCGCCCTTCGTGTCCAGATCCCCTGCAGCCCTCAACCCAAGGTGCTGTCCACACACAGCCGCCAAGGGCTCTCTGCCAGCACAGGCGAGAGCACTCCACAGCCCTCGGTGAGGAGGTGAAGCCAGTCCCCAGACCCAACAGCCAGAACCCCGGGACCTAGGTGGGGGGGGGGGGGCGCCATGGGGGAGCCAGCTTCTCACAGGGGGAGGGGTGCCACCATTCCCCAGGGCCCTCAAGGACTTTTATAAATCCCTCGGCCAGGCCTGCAGCCAGGAGTAGCCCAGGCCACTGTGCAGAACAGCCAAGGCTAGGGACCACCATCCCAGACACACGGCCACCAGCGAGCGGGCCCCAGCCCCGCCAGGGCCAGGCAAGTGGGTGGGACCCGAGGGCCTCCAGGACAAACAAGTCCTAGGCACCAGGCAGGGCAAACACCAGCCCTCGGGTGGCAACCACCTGGGCCTACTCGTGGCCTGACTGCCCGTGTAGGGCACCGAGCCACCTGAAGTCCACTCTGGCCCCCTACCCAGCGGGGTCCCATGCAGCCAGACGCTGCTGAGGAGCCATGCTCTACCCAGGGAGCAAGGGGCACGGACGGCAACCCGCACGCAGGCAGCCTCAGACATACCCAGAGAGGGCTGGGCTACGGCTCAGGGGCCGGACTTGCTCCCGCCCCGGCCCCAGGGGCACTTACCGGCAGGCGCTGGCGGCTGAGACAAGTGACAGCAGGCCGCCCAGCAGCAGGCAGATGGGCCCCGAGGCCCGCCTCGCCAGCTCCGCGAGGATGCTGGCCTCCACGCCCTCCGACTGCCAGTGGCTCAACCGCACGGGGCCCTCGTCGAACCGGTCACTTCGGAAGAGCTCCTCGCTGCGCGCCACCGTGTCAAAGACAGCAGCCAAGCCCCCAGCACCGGCCACGGCATCGCCAGCCTGGCGGTCAGGCGGGGCCACGGGCGGGTGCAGCTCGGACAGCAGCACCTTGCGCTGGTCATAGAAGACAAGCATGACCTGGTCCTCGCCGGGGGCACCGGGGCAGGTAGGTGCCTGCCGGCGGGTGGCCTTGCAGCTCCAGAACTTGCTGCCCCTCTCCCGGCACAGCTGGAGCCAGGGCTCATGGGGGAAGATGGCGCCCAGGCCCTCCGGGAAGTGGCCCAGGCTCTCCTCGGCACCCTGCTGGCGGTGGCACCAGGTGCCCAGCACGGCCACCCCCACCTGGCTGGCCCGCTGCACCCGAGCCAGGAGCTCCTTCACCTGGATGGGGATGAAGGGAAAGTGCACCACAGCCAGGACCACAGCGCTGGTCTGCTCCGGGACCCACCGTCCCACCAGCAGGCCGCTGTCGGCCGAGGCGCAGCACGTGGGGAAGAAGGCCTTGAGCACCATGCCGGGCACGCTGGAAGAGAGGGGAGAGACCCCGCTCAGGGCCGCCGCCACTGCCGCCCCACGACGGCCCTGACGGACCCCAGCTGCCCATCTCGCGTGGGTACCGCCCCCACCCCCACCCCAGGCCGGGCAACGCTTTCCCCCCCTTTCAGAGACAAGCAGGCCGAAAGGGGGCGAGGCTACGCGACCCTGGTACCACTCACAAGGGTGTGCAGGGCTGAACGTGAAGGTTTACTTCTTGTTTTTAAGGCAGGCGATGAGAGTATTTTACGTGTAGCACGTGGAAAAACGCGAGATCTCATTAACGATGAAAGATACAGATGAAAATCTGACGAACCTCGATTTACTCACGAAGCCAGCGAGACTGAAGATGAAAATTTAAACAGATTACTTCTGGGCTGAGGGAAACCACATGCTGGCGGCTGTGGGCACGGGACGGGAGCCCCAGAATATACCAGAGGAGCCTTGCTGCTCTTGTGGGGCTCTGGCCACTCCTCTGACTCTCCCCCCCGCCTACAGGATGCACCTGTCCGTCACATCGGGGCTGGGTTCCGGGTGGGGGGACTGTTCCCTCTGGTCACAGTCGAGCCAGGCAGCTGTCTAGACATGGGGACCCTGGAGAATGGCAGGCTCCCCGTTGTTTTCTGTCTGGCTGGGGGGCACCAGTCTTCATGGCCTCTCACAACCTCCACACGGCCCCAAGTGGCTGCAACCCCTGAATTCTGGGAGACCCCAAGCCTTGCCCTGCCCAGAGGTAACTTGACCAGGGATGTGGGTCTCTCAGCAAAGCCCCTCCCAGATAAGACCGGGCGGGCGGCAGGCCCTCACCCAGCAGAGCACTGAGGGCTTCACCTTGGAGCACGCTCCTTCTCAGACACTGACTTCCCCAGCCTTGGCAGCACGAGCGGCCTAACAGCCGCCCTGGGCTAAGACCCCCGAGCTGGAGCCTACACCTGAGGGAGGCGCACAGGTCTGGGACTGAGCCCACTGTTCCCCAGGTCCTTGGGGACATACGTGTTGGGATGGCAGGACATTTCATCCTCCTCCTATCTGTCGGGGGGCTCTGGGAAAGGCCTTCGGCAGACACAAAGGCCCAGGGCTCAAGAGATCACTGGTACGGCTGCTTTCCTCCCTTGCAGGGGCCCAGACTGCGGCTGGAAGGGAGAGGCCTCTTCCAGCCGGTTGCAAAGGGGGCTTCCCACAGCCGTGGGTTCCAGCTGAAGAGGGTCCTTCCGGGCAGAGCGGCAGGACTCCCAAACGCCCCCTCCTCACCAAGCGACTGGAGAGGGCAGCCAGCAGCAAGTGCAGGCAGGGGACGGCCTGGAGCAGCCGGGGCCAAATCCCGGCGTCCACTATCAAAGGCATCGAGGCCAACTTACCTTCCTGACCCTCCTGACAGGGGCCACTGTGAGACCTGGGAGGAACCCGGCAGCTCTGGTTTGGCGACCAGCAGGGGGACCAGACATCCCACCCTAGGCCTCTCAGTGCCAGCCCACTGAGATACGCCAGCTTGGCCGAACGACACCATCATGCCCTGCTTGGGGACCCCTTTCACAGGACCTAAGGAAAACCACGCACGGCTACTGCCGGAAAAGAACAACGATCGGCCCAACAGCGAACAGATGCTCTGGAGGAAAAGCTGCATCTGTTGAAACAAAGGTGTTTTCACTTCGGGAAACTTCACTGAGTTGTGCACAAACGGTGAGTGCGTTTTCTTTGTGTGCGTGACGCTTCATCTACAAAGTTTGCCTAAGGAGGAAGAAAAGGCTCCTCGTGTGGAAGGACGAAGAGCAGAGGGCAGAAGCTGGCGTTCTTATCCATGGGGCAGAGAGAGAGAACTCTTCACACATCACGGGGCGAATCCCCACCCGCACCCCCACCTCAGCCTCTGGGAGGGATGAACACAGAGAAGTCTACTCAGATCAGACATCCAGACAAAGAAGAAAGAGCAGGCAATCGATAGCAGAGGTGCAGAGGGAGGAGGGCAGTAACTTGGGCAAAGCGCTGCTCTTTCAAGACGGGAATACAAAGCCAGGGCGCGTGCCCGGGGCGGCCTCGTGTTCACAATGCCAGCGAGTTCCCTTCCCGATCTGTCCGGTGACAGGTCTCGGGGGGCTGGGACAGCCCTGCTCCCACAGGGTCTCCCTGACAGGGTGGAAGCCTACTGCCTTCTCTCCTGGGCACCAGCGGCCACTGGGGAAAAGTGCAGACGGGACTGGCCAGGGACAGCTCGCTGGCTGGAGCCGTCCTCCGACAAGCCTCCCCACCGCTGCACCCCCATAATCCGGGAACACTCACTTTTACTCCGTGTAGTCTGTGCTTAAAAAACCAACAACAGTTCCTTTGTTTGTTTTTCTTGCATGGGGTGCACACTGCTTCCTACCCCTCATTACAGAAGAACTCAATCTACGATTCTGGTTTTGGGTTTATTTATTTTTTTTTTTTATTTTTTTTTTCCAACGTTTATTTATTTTGGGGACAGAGAGAGACAGAGCATGAACGGGGGAGGGGCAGAGAGAGAGGGAGACACAGAATCGGAAACAGGCTCCAGGCTCTGAGCCATCAGCCCAGAGCCCGACGTGGGGCTCGAACTCACGGACCGCAAGTTCGTGACCTGGCTGAAGTCGGACGCTCAACCGACTGCGCTACCCAGGCGCCCCTGGGTTTATTTTTTTTTTTAAGTAAGCTCTAAGCCCAACGTGGGGCTTGTCCGGCCGCCCCCCCCCCCAACAACAAGTCGTCCGCCCTACCGAATGAGCCACCAGGCGCCGCCTTCCGCAGTCAGGGACGCCTGGAGGTGCCAAGGCCCGCTCGCTGACCCTGAATGCCCTTCCGGAGGGTCCAGGGCCTGGCCGGCCCGCGGTGAGCGCGCTGAGCCAAGGCTCCCCGCGAAGGGCGCCCACGCGGCCCCGCCGCCGCCCCTCCAGGGCCCCACTCTACGGATGAGGAAACAGAGGCTCCAGCGGCGACAGCCCCGCGCCGGCCGGGCGGGGGCTGGGGGTAGCCACCGGGGCCCCTTCTGCCGCCTCGCCCGCGCCCCGCGCCCGGTCCCGCCGCGCCCGGGGAGTCGGGGCCCACAGCCCCGGGGGGAGGGGCGGCGCCCCAAGGTCACACCGCACGGCCCCCCCTCCTCCCCCCGCCGAACGCTCACCGGCTGTTCCCCGGGGCCGCGCTCTCAGGCGGCGGGGTCGGCATGGGGTCGGGGACCGCGTTGGGTCGGGCCGGGCCGAGCGGACGACAGCGCTCGCGGCCCCCGGCCCCCAGCCCCGCCGCGGCCGTGCCGCGGGACACGAGCCCCATTTCCGCCGGCTCCCAGCGTTGCCGCGCGACGGTCCGGCCCCCAAAGGCGCCCGAGCTGCCCGCCGGCCCCGCCCGGGCGTTCCGCGCACGCAACGTTCCAGTCCCGGGAGTCGGAGGCAGGCTTGTGCGGCGTCCTTGTCCCCCTCATGCGGCATCCTCGCTCCCGCCAAGGCATTCATGTCCCCTCCCCAGCTCTTGTACCCCATCCAGTCTACCCGCAGTGTCCCCAACACCACTGCCTTCCCATCCCCCAACTTCTCACAGCTGCCAAACCTCCCCCATCCCCCGTTTTCTCATCTGAGGGACCCAGAGGACCTGACTTTTGAGGGTCCCCAACCTCACTGGGCCACCACCCCCCGAGGGTGAAAAGCAAGCCCCAAGCCCTGCATGGGGTTGCGAAAGGAGCTGCCTCCCCAGCCCCAGGCTGGCCCCTCCAAAGGGGTCTCTGCAAAGGGGCGCCCCCGTGTTCCCCCAGGGCTAAGTGGGCTAGGAAGGCTGCGGCCATCTGGTTTGATTGTCAGAGGTGTCCCTGGCCCCTCCTGCCCCAGGGAACAATACCACCAACACCAGCAGCAACAGATTACATTTACTGAGCACTTAACTGCACACGCTTCCTTACATTGACCACACAACCCTGCCACTCACAGGGGCTGGTACATACGAAAAGGGACCTTGTCAGAGGCATTGTCCTGGTGACAGACTGGACCAGGCACTGTCCCCTCCCAATGAGTCCCCTCACTGGAACTGGGAGCCTGGCCGGGCCCCAGATTCAGAGGAAGCCCTCATCTCCCATCCCTTTGGGGCCTCATTTGCTCATTGTGCTCAAGTAACAGGAGTCTCTCCTCATAGGAAGGCTCTCCTGGCTTGACCACAGTCTGGAACCTTCCCAGCACACCCCACCCATGAGTTTGGAGAGCTTGCAGAGGAGAAAGTGAAGGTTCAGCCTGAGACATAGTCTTACATGGGAGCAGGAGACCAGGGGTATGGAGGCTCCCAGCCCAGCCACATGCCACCCCTAGGCGCCTCAGGGGTGGTCCTTCCTCTGCTTTTCCCTTACCTCAGTTAGGCCCAGAGAAGCTGCGAGAGGCTTGGCGTCTGGGGTGCCTCTGAGGACGGGGGACAGTGAGAGGCCACACCCCTGCCAGCCCAGCCCAGCCCAGCAGAACCCTCCCCGCCTGCTTCTGTCTGATTAGGACCCTGGGGCGCCCAGCCCGACACACCAATCATCTCCAGTCTTCAGCTGCTGGCCTCAAAGCTCAGGCCTCCAGGGCTCTGAGCCTGCAGGACCAGGGCCCGAGTGGCCATGGGGGCAGTGAGTTGGGGGGCCCACTAAACTAGGGTGTGGAGAGGACCCAAACTTGGAGGCTGTGCACCTGGTAGGGAAGGCCGAGAGGTGGTTGGTTTGTGGCAAGTCTGAATCCTCTCCAAGAGGAGGACGGGGCCAGCCCAGAGCCTGGCACAACAGGTGCTTAGCAACTGTCAGCCAATATATCAGGTCAGAAAGTCACGGCCGGCAGCCCTGGAGGACCCCACCAACCCTGAATGTCCCTCCCGTAGTGGTCCAGGGCCCTGGGGGCTGGGCCCACATGCAGCAAGGTGCTGCTCCCATCTGAGTCCATGGGTCAGGCTGGCTCCGAGTGGTACTGGTACACCTTGATGTAGCTGTCCCCTGCGTCTGCCACCACGAGCTGGCCCTGAGGGGCACAGGCCACACCCAGGGGCCGCCCCAGCCCCTCAGACACCAGGCAGACGGGCTCCCTGGCCCGAGGAAAGAGGGTCACACGGCGCCCTTGCTCATCTGCCACAATGACACTGCCCTCCACATCGGTGCACACGCCTGCTGGGTTCCCAAAAGCATGCCCTTTCCGAACCCCCAGGGAGCCCAGGGGCTGGCAGGCACTGCCGAACAGCCACACATCCCCAAACTCTTCGCTCACGGCGAGGCCTCCGTCAGGCCCTGGGCCCACCCAGCACGGGCCCTCCAGACCCAGCATGGAGGCTGGGGCCAGTGGCTGCAAGGCAGGGCTCAGTGTGAAGCTGTGGACAGCCCCAAGCACATAGTCTGTCACCAGAAGGCGGCCAGCGGCATCCACAGCCAGTCCCCGGGGGGCCAGGTGGGTGCCCACCGTGACCCAGCGGCCCAGGGGGGCTCGGGCGGCGTGCTGAAGTGCGTGGACAGCCCCACGGACGAGGTCGCTGACCACCACAAGCCCAGCGGCCGTCACAGCAACGTCCTCCGGCACGAAGGCCCCAGTCCCCGGCAGATGGCAGGGCAGGTGGCAGATGGAGCGTCCCTCGAGGTCCATCACGTGGACGCAGGGTGCAGCCCCGGCCGTCAGGAAGAGCAGGCCATCCGGGGAGCAGTGCAGACCCCGGGGTCCTCCCACAGCCCCTGCCGGCACTGGGATCTGTCCCAGCAGCCGGGGCTGCCGGGAGCGAGCGGGGTCTCCAGGTGGGTCCAGCTTGGGAGCAGCTGGGCGGGGAGGCCCAGGAGGCCAGAGGACAGAGAGGTGGTGGGCAGAGATCACAGTTCGGCCCCTCTGAGCTGAGTTCCTGCAGCTGGGCCGCGCGTGGGGCTGCAAGAGAAACACCCACTGTGGGCCAAGCAGTGGCTACCCCTATTCCCCTGCTCCCTTCCATGCTGGCGTTCTCCTGTTTTACACACGAGGAAACTGAGGCATGGGGGTGGGGAGCTGGATTCAAACCCAGTTCCACCAGATCCCGAGTGCTGGCACAGTCCGCAAGCCCAGCAGCCAGCCATGTGTCTGGGTCCCGTTTCACCAGACATGGCCCCTGAGACACAATTCTGGGAGACACAGGCCTGTGAAGGCCCGAATGAGCTCACGGGCCTTGGGAGGTGCTGGGGTGGGGGTGGGGTGTCTCTCAAACTCATCTGCCCAGGGAACCCTGCCTTCCCTCAGGCAGGGAAAATGACTCTTCCTGGAGGCAGCCCGAGGGTCTGCCCATGGTCCCCACAAAGCCCCTGGAAACTTCCGACCCCTGAAGGATTAGGCAGGGGGCCTTTCCTGGGCCTCTCTGCCTGCTCCCACCCAGAGAGGCTGGGTGGGGGTCTCCTACCTGGGGCTAGTCGCCCTGGGCCCTGCTCCGGCAGCAACAGCCTCTGTTGTTAGAAACTGGAGTGTGAGGGAGGGGCCACCTTGATGAGCTGGCATGGGCAGGTGGGAGGGGCAGGTGGGACTCTGGCCAAGAACATGTTTGAGCAGTGGCCCAAGAAAGCTCTGTGGAGCCGCCACTCAGCTGCTAAACCCCTAGAGGCGCCCCACTGCTGCCGCATTCCTGCCTCGGGGACTTTGTACCGGCTTCTGGGACATTCTTCCCACTGCCCCCACCTGGTCTGGATGCCACTCGCGGTCAGCCCAGCCACCCCCTCCCCCCACTTCAGGGAGGCCCGCACAGCCCTCCCAAACCCGCTGTCATGTAATTCGTGGGTTTGCTGCTCAGAGGGCACTGAGCGGACATGCGTGTGAGGCAGCCTAGAGCGCTGTCCCCCGGGTACGACCGCAGGGTTAGGACTTCGGGGAAAGGGCTGCACTCGTCCCATGCTGAATGCGTCCCTCACCAGAGTCTGGGGTGGGGAACCTCCAGGGTGTTCATCCTGCCCCCCCAAAACCGGCAGGGGTGGGTCCTGTCTCTCTGATCCTGCTTCTACGCCTGTGAAACTGGGCTGATGCTCCTAAGTTCAGGTCTGCCTGGGGGGTGATGAGAAATCTGGGTGCAGTAGGCACACGGGGGTGCCAACAGGGGGCCAAGGAGGGGCAGGTCTCCGGACGACTCCCAACTCAGCCCACAGACCCCGCAGCCCATCCAGGAAGCCCCTGGAAGGTGGGGGGTCAGCCCCTGTCTGTGGCTTGCCGCACTTCCCACCTGGCTGACTCACACCCCAGCTCTGGACTTGGCCTCTTAATGCCCCGAGGTGGGGTGGGCGGCCGATGCTATCTGCTGCCCGGCACAATTAATGGGGCAGCCATAGGTCCTGCTCCGACTGGCCCCAGCCCGGCTGGCCCAGCTTGGGGAACCAGGCACAGGCAGGACCCGTCCTCCCTGGGGCCACTCCTGGGTGGGCACGGAGGTATGGCCAGCTCCCAGGAGAGAAGTGATTAGCGGGGCCCAAGGGTCCCCCCGGGCACCCCTCCCTGTCTTCCCCCTGCCCCCGCCTGTGGGAAAGGCCAAGTGTGGCCGTGCAGGGAGGGAAGCAGTGAACTGTGAAGGCCACCGATGCCTATCGTGGCTGCAGGGGCTGGCGGGGGGGCCAGCAAAGGCCACGCTGGGCAAGCAGCCCTGGGCCACAGAATGTGGGTGCACCGTATAACCACAGAGGGGGCCGCCTCCAGCATGGATCTGACATTAGGGCTGCCCTGCCAGACACGAGGGCTGGAGGCAGGCCCAGGGGTCCCTGTCCACCACCAACGTGCTGAAACACAGGCCTGACTGGCCCCAAGACCATGCACACGGGCCTCCCCACCTCTGCCTGCTTTACCCGCCTTGGATGGAAAGCTCCCCCCGCCCCCCATTCGGTTTCCAGACTCTGGCTCTCCCAGGGAGGGCCCAGCCTACAGGAAGCAGGTCAGCGCCTGAAGGTAAATACCCAGCAAGATAGCCCAGGACACTGGCCACCTCAGAAGCTGAGGCTGGGGACATTTCCATGTCAGAGAGCGTCCCAGTGGTGATGCTGGTGAGGCAGGGGAAGAAGGAGGCCCAGACAGGGTGTGTGAAGATAGTTTCTATTTTAACGTCCACGATTGTGATCAGTACGTAGCTATGACCCTCCACTGTCCCTCATGGCCTCATAGACAGGCGATAGCCATGGCAGGTCAGTCCACAGGCATGCTGGACAGGCTCTAGGCCACGCCTCTGGGGCTGGGGCAGGTGGGGGGCCAGGCAGCGGACACGGGGTTGGAGAGGAGTGCCTGTCTGTTAAGAGCAGAGCTAACACAGAAGCTGTGTTCAGACCTCAGCACCAGGGGGGCTCTGAATGCTAGGGACAGCCTCAGGGGGCCAGGAGCCCACAGGCCCACCTCGGGCACCCCAACTGCTACCAGGAATGACAGGGTCCTCCGGGGCCTGAAGGGGGAGGCCCGGGGGTGGGACACTGGAGTCAGCCTCGCACTTGGTGGTGTGGCCAGAGAAAGGCTCAGCTGGTGCAGGGCCCAGCATGCTGGGTGGCTCGGGGGCCCCCTGGGCGAGCGTGGGGCCCAACTCCCGCTGCCCCCAGGGCCCCACAGGCCCCTTGAGCCCCTTGGTGGGCACCCGTTTCACAGAGAGGTCGAGGGGTGCGTCCGGCGGCCGAACAGCCCGCTCCAGGGCCTGGTGGATGGTGAGCAGCTCCTGGCGAATCTTGCCCAGCTGCTCCCACAGAGGCCGAGGGGCCAGGCCCCCGGCAGGCGCCAACTGCCCCAGGCGCTGCTCCACCCTGGCATAGTCACCCAGGGCCCGGGTGAGGTCCTCACCCACGTGCCCGGGGCCACCTGGCACTAGGTCCAGGGGCTGCTGGGGCAGGAGGGCCACGGGGCCTGGGGGCTCAGGGTTGCTGGGCTCCTTGTCCTCAGGCCAGAGCATCGCGGAGGGGCCAGTCTGCAAGCTAGGGGGTAGAAGCCGGTCAAGAGGCTGCACTGTGCCCCTCAGTGTGCCCAGTCCCTGCCCCACACTCGCCCTGGGTCCCCCCCCCCCAACCGCTTTCAGCCTGGCTGAGGGCCTTGAGACCCCTGAAGGATAGAGAGGCTGGCTCTGTGGCCTTGGTTTCCCCTCTGTCGCCTGAAGCCCACGTTCCTGGCAACTAAGCTCAGAAAGGGGGCCCAGCCATCCTGGCCAGCTCGCCTCCCACCGCTCCCAACCCCCATGGCCAGGGGCCCCTGACACCTACCTGCTCTGGGAACCAAACTTCACCACGCTACAGGGGGCCCTCAGGGGCTCCAGACTGCTTCCCAGGGGCAGCCTCCTCTTGGGGTCGCTCTGGGCAGCCGGCTCCAGCTCCCCCTCCGGCCCTGAGTCCCTAGGGGCTCCTCCTCGGGGCCAGGGCCTGCCCAGCCCAGGCACCGGCACTTTCAGCAGCCCCGGGGCCAGAGCCCCAGGGGGCCCCTTTGGGGCTGCTGGGGGCTTGGCAGGGGCAGCCTTGCCTGCTGGCAGCCCCAGGGTATGCTCCAGGAGCAGGGGGTAGTATAGGCGGGGGACCAGGGCAGGGCGCTCGGGGGCTTGTGGGGAAGGGAAGGTGGAAGCCGGCGGCAGCAGGGGGCTGGCCGAGGCCAGAAAGGGCATGTGGGCCGCTGCGGCCAAGGAGGGTCCCAGGTAGGAGAAGAGACCCGGCCCGAGAGGGCAGTTGACACCCAGCAGGGACACGTGGAGGCTCTGGGCCTCGGGGAACTCACTGGGGGCAGGTGGGGGGTAGCAGGGGACCCCGCTCTCAGGGCCCGCTGCAGCCGCGTCCACCACGGCCAGGCCCCCGGGAGCCCCGCCCGGCCCTGGCTTCCAGGACTCAGCCAGGAGCCCGCCGAGGCCCACACCCTTCGGAGCATCCCGGGCCGCAGGGGACCCCTCCGCCCCCAGCTTAGGGCCCCCGACGTGGCGGCGCAGGGAGAGGACTGGGGAGGCCAGGTCGGGCGCAGGGGGAGTGTCAGGGGGCCGCACTCCTCCTCCTCGGGGCTGGCCGCCCGTGTCTGTGGGGCCCGAGGGGCGGTCGGGGGTGGGCGCGCGGGGCCGGGGCGCGGCCGGGGGGCGACGGCACGCCCATTCCGGGGAGTCGAGCAGCAGCGAGAGCGAGTCCTTGCAGAGGCTGTACTTCATGTGGTTGTAGAGGTGCGACTTCTCCAGGCAGGTGAAGGGGCACTGGAAGCACTTGTAGTTGTAGGGCTTGCCCCAGGGCCGCGGGATGTAGTGCGGCTTCTTGGGCTTGCGGGCCCGCGCCCGCGCCCCGGGGCCCAGGCGGCACGAGCCTGCCTCTCGGGACATGACGGCGGCCTGCTAGTGGGCGGGGCCCGGGCCCATGGCCACCTGTGCACGGGGGAGGGGGGCCGTGGTCAGCGCCCGCCCCTGACGGCTCCGCGCCCCCCTCTGCCCACCTGTGCCCCGCAGCCCTGCCTCCCTGGCCCGCCCCCCTCATCCTCCCGTTCTGCTTCACGCACACGTCTAGGGGCACCAGATGCGGCAGATAAAAACGCAAGACACCAGTTAAATCCGGGTAAACGGCAAACGCTTTTGTAGCAGAAGTATGTTCTAGCCGATATTTGGAACGTACGCTAAGAACCCCTGCTGTTTATGGGAAATTTGAGGTTAACTAAGCATCCTGTGTCTCATCCGTGGGCCCAGCTCTCGTCTCCACGCCACCCCCCGCCAGGCCCATCAGCCTCCAGCAGGCCCGTTTCGGGGATGATTCTGTCCGCCCCCGCCTGGGTCTCCGTCTACCCGTCTACCCGCTGGGCATCTGGTGAGTGACCAGAAGCCAGGCATGAGGAGGCCCGTTCCTGGGACACCAGCCCTCCTCGCTCCCCTCCGGAGGCCTCTTCCGCGCTGGGAAGCCCGAGACGAAAGCTGCCTGGGTGAGAGACCCCGGCAGAAGGCTCCGAGAGTCTCGCTACCACTGAGCGCACGTACGCGTGTTCCCGCTCCAGCAGGGTGCTGGGTGCGCAACGCGGGTCTCTGAGGGGGTCGGCCTCACGTGGGGCCAGGCCAGGCTGGGGGGCGTGGACGTCACAGCATGGCCCCCCGGCCCAGCCACCTGCTCAGCCTGGCTCCATCTGGGTGGCTTCAGGCAGGTCAACGGCCGTGCCTGCAGCGGCCAAGCTCAGCCAAGACCCTCCTCTCCCCACGCCCCACACACTCGCTCGGAAGCCGCTCCACACTCCATCTGGGCCGCCACCTGGGCCATCCACCGCCCCAGTGCGCGCCTGCGTGGGGCACACGGTGAGTGTGTGCACACCGGCTTCGGGTGTGTGCACACAAGCGTTACCAGGCTCCAGACGAGCCCTTACCCGGCGCCCGGAGGCACAGCCTCTGCACGGCTGGGCCGACTGGGAACAGAGTCAGTCGGCCGCCAGAATGCAGGGGGCCTGGGAGCTCGCCCACTGCCACACACACACACACACACACACACACACACACACACACACACCCGCCTCAGCCTGTGCACATGAAACGGGCACAGGAATCCAGCCAGCAGCCCGCACATCTGCACAGG